TAAACCTGTAACCATTGACTTATATAGTGGAAAAAAATACTATGGAGGTCAATTATTATAGGTTTCTTTTGAGTGTAAAAGAAGAAAGAAACTCATGCAGGTTTAAAATAAGTAATTTCATTTTTTTTTCTGTTAAAAGTCCCTTTAAGGGAGCTGTTTGAGAGTGCTCTGGATGCAGACCTGGTGCAGATGCAATTTGAGCTTCATCCAATATTTTTAATGGGCTCATCTAAACCCAACTCTAACTCTACTCCTCACAATGACGTCACTAGCTCCATTGAGTGCATTGTGTCTGACATTACATCTCAGCTTGCATCATTATGGCTGCATCCAGATACCATTGAGCTGTTTTAGTCACTTAAATTTGTTAAGGTTAAATGCTTGCTAAGGACTTTGCATCGATGTTTAAGGGAACACTTGAGATGAAATACATCCTGATTCAACCTTTAGGACTTTTCTTGCATTTTTTCTAAGGATACCCTTAATCTTACGGATTTTTTAGCTTAAGTGTTTTCATGCAACCAGGCCCATGCCTCCAAACATAAACAAAATACTGATGGTGGTTTAATTGAATTTGGCAACCATAACTAAGCATTTGATTGCTGTAATACGTTTTAGGTAAAAAATAACATGTGAGAGGGCAAAAAGGTGCGATGGTTTCTACCACATTGTCAGTGTAATTTTGACAGTTTCAAGAATGATTTGTTTTCACACACACATTCACTTGTACAATGATACATTAGAGGATTCACTCACACTCATTTTATTTAAATGCAGTATCATCTGTGACTCCTGAAACTTCTGTATATAATACAGTATATAACAGTTTTAATTGAGTATTAATAGACTGCCTGCTTAATATTCACAAACACTTTATTTAGATGCCCCTCCAGCAGAAATTGTTGTAACTTTTCACTGGTAATGCTGCCTGAAAATATACTTTGACCTTCTACACATTTACACATTTGGTTTCAGAATTGAAATGTAAGAATGCACAATCTGCAATATTGAGATGGAGACTGAAAAGCTCACGTCTGCTGTGCTGCTTTATGGAGGATTTGAGATTCGGCTGCGGTCTGCCAGTGAAGCTGCAAAACCTGCAACTTGCATATTATTTTTAAACTTTAGCAGTATAGACTTTGGTAATGCACTTCAAATATGTTGTTCATCATGTTGGTTATGTTATTAATAAGGCAACCAGTCTATCCCTTTTTTTCTTCTTTGTGGAAGAGATGATATGGAATTTTATTGAGCTTAATTTTTAGATTTCCACAGGCAAAAAAAAAGGGTTAAAATGCTAAATCTAAAATGCTTTTTTAGATGCATATGCGATTTAAAGTGAGACAGTAGATAAAAAACATCTTATCAGTGGTGTGAACAAAAATAGCTCTCTAAAGGAAGCAGGGTTGGTTTTCAACAGGTGTTCTGAAGCGAGTCAAAGACCCAAATGTTGCGCTATCATCTAGATCTGTCTATTTGTATGTGTGTTTGTGTGTATGCACGCGTGCATGCATGTGTGTTAGCATATGTCGGTCTGCTTGTATGTGTGTGTGTGTGTTAGCATATGTCGGTCTGCTTGTATGTGTGTGTGTGTGTTTGTGTGCATGAGTGTAAACGTGAGAAAGCAAGACCACATCACACTAGCTTGGCATTGCAAGCCCACTTCCTCTCCAGAAAATATAATGCCTCTCTAATAACTTCAGGTTTTCACAGTAGATAGACTATATTGGAATCCCCACTGCTTTCCAGCTAAAACTTTGGCATTAAGTCACTATGTATTTAGCATATAGCATATATTTATTGTGTGTTTATACACTATAAAATTATATTATCAATTTATCAATGTTTATTTTTTTTTTAGAGTTAATCCAATGCTTAATGTAAAGTATGTTCAAATGATTTTGAGAAAAATGTAAGGCAGGAACTCTTTTTTTAATTTTATTTATTTATTTATTTTTATTATTTTTTAAGTGTTTATTTATAGGAAATGTTCAATTCAATTCAATTAATCCTTATTTGTAAAGCGCTTTTACAATGTAGATTGTGTCAAAGCAGTTTAACATAAAAGTACTAGTAAATTGAAGCTGTGTCAGTCCAGTTGTCAGAGTAAGAAAATTAAGGTATTCAAGTAACCAAATAAAGTATCTTTAGAATTCTAAGATACTGTGGTATGTCAGGAAAAGTTATTATATTTTTCTTTTTTATTATATCATATTTAAAATATCACATTCATAGATTACATGTACTATCTATCTTTCTATCTAATTTAATTTTTGTATTTAGTTTGATATTTAATTTTATATTTGTTTTATTATAATATATTTCCACAAATATTACGTTACAAATAGGCATAATCTATATTAGGGATGCTCATTTCAGTTAATTTTGCCAACTGTCAACCGAATATTAACCGTTAACTAGTCAGATTATTAATCAAATACTATTTAATTAAAAAACAATTGATGTGTCTATTTTGTGTGACACATTGAATATTTCATTTTGAAATACTGATTTATTTTAACATGCAAACAGCAGCATACAAAACATCTTCATGCACCTGCAGTGTTTCCAACAGCATAGAAAAAAAAGAATAAACTAAATAAAAAGAAGGAAATAAACTGGCCTGCCCTAGATATTTTTCACCTAAATTAAAAATTAAGATTACATTTAGATTACGTGCTGCGTGTGATGAAAGACATTGACCATGAGCCTTAAGGCTAATGTGTTGACTTTTTGTAAATTATAGGCTACTATAACATATAACAACTTTGCTGTTTACATAAGATATTGTATTAATTTGCATACATGTTTAATAAGTTGTAAAATGAAAGCATCGGTTTGGTTATCATTATGCAAAAATTAAGAAAATCTTTGGATATGTTTGATTAGATTAGGCTATGTAGGCTATTTTAAAAATTTATGTTACATATGAACTATATAACTGTAATTTTTCAAATGGAAAAAGGTTGGTTTGGTGGTTGTACACTAAATCATTAATATCCTATTTGTTGAGTTTATGACGCGGCTCCAGGCAGCACAGTGGCTATCAGCATCAGCGCTAGTTTGTATCAACTCATCTGTGTAAAACTGTGACCAGAAATATCCTTCTTTCATTTTGTTTCTTTGGCAAAATACGTATGTAGTTAACAAATATTTGTTGCACATTTAGGAGCCGATCACACCAAACGCACTTCTCCATCCCAAAAGCAAGGCGCACCTCACTGCCTTTTACGTTGACAAGAAAAAAAGAAGCGCTATGCTCTTTTGTTATGTGACTTAAAAACAACTGAATCAGCTGACCTGTATTGTGCGCAAGTGTTGCTGTCGATGTTGTTATAATTGTAATATTTAATAAAATTGTGATATTCAAGATTTGTAAAGTCAGAGAGCCCTGGAAAACTTGAAACAGCGACCGCTAGTCTCTCCTACATCATTAAAAGTTCTCTGTAGTCGTCTTCACAATACAAACATTGCTGTCACCTCAACGAAAACCCTGCCTCTGCTTTCATTTGATGAAAGAATTAAAAAGACATGACTGACTTAACATGTCTTTTCCATTGAGGGTTGACTTTTATTTCAACTGCTTGCACACAGCATGCATTGGCAAAAATGCGAGGCACGGTTGCTGCACAAGCAGCACGTAAAATTCAATTAAATTCATCTTTATTTCTATAGCTTTTACAATGTAGATTGTGTCAAATCACCTTCACATTACTAGTAACCTGCCATTTATTAGTAACTGTAGGTGGTTTCTAAAACAAAATCTGTAAGTGTTATTTTCATTTTCTCATCTTCAGCTCTCACATTTTTTGTGGTTGTAGCTCCTGTCATCTGAAGGCAGAAGGCAATGACTGAGTGATTGACAGCTGATATTAAACAATGCACTCGCGTTCAGTTCTAGAACAGTGGGCCAATAAGAAGAGCAAAAAGGCCTGGCAAGCACTGCAGGCTTTTTTTTACTTCAGAAATTTCACATAACAACTGTTTTAATCTGTTCCTGTTTGACATTTTTAGGTGCAAAGATGCATTCTACATAAATGTCTCCTAAATTCGCGCACACAGTGAGGATTTTGCCGTGAAAACAGTGAAAATTTATGCACTAGCACAAATGCTTCCACAAATATATATTTTTAGGTCACATAGATAAAATTTTGGGCACATATGCGACCAAAACGGCCAAGCTCTTGCATCTTTACTTGTTATTATGTCCTCATAATAATAATGATATAATAAGGAAGTTATCATCAATCACAATACAAATTACAGTGAACTCCAGACAAACTCTCGTCTCCTCCACCAGCTGTGGGAAAAAGCCATTATAACGACACAGATCACTCTGCCTATTCATGCCAGAGTTGCACTGTAAAAAGTGATTAACGGGTGGTAATTTGTGCGTAACTTTATTTATTTTTTGTTTGGTTATGGGTAAAGCAAAGACCATGTGGGTCAGGTAATGAAAACGGTAGGGTACAATAAATTAATTCGTTAAGAAATAATTGATATTTTACAACCATCACGATGTTTCACATTAGACATCGTACAATGCCAAATTAGTCAACATTGCACAGCCCTAGATGTGACAGGAAGTCAGCAATATAAACATGACTGATGTTTATACTGGGTAATGAGATGCATTTTGGTCGATTGGATCACAGGTAATTGAGACATATTCCTGTTCAAATCTGGCATTTAAATGGGGTTAAAATCTTTTGTCCACTTCTGAACATGTACTGTACTTCTCTGATCTTTCAATCTATTACGGCAAAAAAAAAAATTAAAAAATGTATTAAAATAAATAAATAAAAAAACTTTAACAAGCACATGCTTTTTGTCAACATTTGTACAATTGGTACTAAAGCAATAAAATATTTTATGAATACGTTATGAATTGAGATTTGTTTTCTTTGTTTCCAATGAGCCTGTTTAACAAATAGCTCAAGCTTCTGTAAGCGACACACAATGCTTCTCTCTAGCTTGCAATTTCTTTTTTGTCTTTCCAGGTCATCGACACACTATCAAAACTCTCATATACGCCTGTTGCTCAACAGAGTGGCATCAGGTGAGTTTACAAGTAAATGCATCAGCCAGATGCATTTAAATTCTTTCGTGAAGCTTTATTTTGATGGTCCCCTTATGACTATACATGCAACTATGTCAACTAGCAGTGACTGGAATATTAGTGATTGCCTGCTTAATATCTATTTTTTACTACTCCTCCAACACACCTCTAACTAAAAAGATGTATAGATGCGTAGATTCTGGATTCAAGCCAGCGGTCTTTGGATCTCCGTCCGACTCTCTATCCAGTAGACCACAAATGTGTAGACTTCAAGTAAACCAAGATAAGTTTTGTACAGCAATCTTTCATAGCGAAGTCTTAGTTAACTAGTTTTCGAGTCTTATACTGCATGTGTTCTTTTAAAGTACTCTTACTCAGCTAAGTAGTATTTTTTGTGTAACACTGCAAGTGTCCATAATTTTTTTCACTAGGCAAGTGTAAAAGTGTAAAACAATGAAGTGTATAATTTGTTGAAGCCATCTTGGAATAAGCTGAATTTATTATTGAGCATATTTTTACTCACAAATTTATTTATGGTACATATACAATCATAATCTATTAGTAGTGTACTTGTAAAACAAATAAAGTACACTTTAATATTACTAATCAAGCAAATAATACATTTTGCCAGGCATTTACTGGTACTCGCATACTTGAAGTTGTTCCAATTTTGCACATAAAACAATAAACTAAATACCTTAACGGTTTTAAGTACCAAGCACTAAACTTGTTGTTTCAAAATAAGATTTGTTAGCAAGCTAATAATTAACACATTTGAAGTAGATCTGCACTGACAATTAGTTTGTTTGATACATTTAGCTATTAAATTAGGATGTATTCATATAGTGTATATTAACTAATGCAACCTTATTGTAAAATATTATTGTTTAAATATATGTCACTGAACGAGTATAGGGCGAAAATACTAAGACATTTCTCAGAAAAAACATCAATTAAATTTTACAGAGGTATGTTAAAATAAACTGAAAGTATACTTTCTTATATTTTAGTTTCAAAGAAGTATACTACAACCCCAAATGAGAAAAAGTTAAGACAGTAAGGAAAACGCAAAAAAAAAAAAGAAAGTAGTGATGTCTAAATTTACTTTGTCTTGTATTTCAATGCAGACAATATGAACACAATGTACCATGCTTTTTCTGGTCAACTTTACAACCTTTCCTGTCATCCTGACCTGCAATACAATCTGAATAAAGTTGGGAGAAGAGCAGTTTAGGGCTAGTAATCAGCTAAATTGGTTAAATAATGGTGTGATTTGAATAAGTTGATGTCAACAGGTGATTGTATTTATGATTTGGTACAAAAGCAGCATCCAGGAAAGGTCTAGTCCTCTAGGAGCAAAGATGGACGGAGGATCGCCAGTTTGCCAACAAATACATGAGAAAATCACTGAAATGTTCAAAACAATGTTCCTCAAAGAAAAATAGAAAACATTTCGACATTGCACCTTCAAAAGTGCATAATATTAAAAGATTCAAGTAATCTGAAGGAATTTCAGACCATAAAGGACAAGGGCGCAAGTCTAAACTGAACAACCATGATCACGATCCCTAAGGTGGCAATGCATCAAGATTTTTTTTTTATTTATAAGTGATATCATCTCATTGTCTTAGGACTACTTTGACAAACCTTTGTCAAGTACCAAGTCAGGTATGTAGTTACATCCATGAATGCCAGTTAAAACTGTAGTGTGCCAGAAGGTAGCCTTGTGTTAACAGTGTTGAGAAGCGCCATTGAATTCTCTGGGCATGGAGGCATGGAAATGTAAGGGCATAACTTTCACGTCTTTTATGGCATCATAATGCTGAAAAGAACATAAAGATTTTGGAGCACAATATGCTGCCTTCTTTTCCAGGTACGTTCATGCATATTTCAACAAGAAAGTTCAAAACCACAATCCGCACACATTACTAAGTCCTGGCTGTGGAGCTAGAGGACATGCAATTGACTGGACTGCCTGCAGTCCCGACCTATGTCCGATAAAGAATGTGTGGCACATTTTGAAGTGCAAAATATGATAACGAAGACTTGCCTACCTTAAGACTTGTTTTCAGAAACATTAGACAAAATTACACTTGAAACACTTTATCACTTGGTGTCCTCAGTCCCTAAATATATTTTAAGTGTTGTGAAAAGGAATGATAACATTATAAAGTGGTAAATGTTTTATCATTCCTACTTTTTTTTTTTTAAATGTTGCAAAAACCAAAATTACAATAAAAATAAATCATGAGGAACAGATGTTTGTTGTATTGTCTGCAATTAAATAGAATTGAACGTAAATTTAGAAATCACCTCTTTTTTATTTGCATTTTCATATTGTCACAACTTTTTTTTCTGATTTGGGGTTAATAATGTTAATAATGTCATTTTATTATCAGTGCAGTGGCTGTTGTTTAAATGAATGGCTGGTATTAAAATGTTTCTTTCCTGTCGGATCACAGTTGATGCAGACAGACTAATTGCTTGTTGCTGGAAACTTGTCATCAATTGCAATTTAAAAAAATTTAAAAAGTGCAATTTTAAGTATATTTGAGAGAAGTACTTAAGAAGTAGAATGTAAGCTTACTTTCTGAGTTGTAGTTTAAAAAAGTAAAAAAAAGAAATTTTATAAATATTTCTTAATGTAAGCGCACTTGTCAACTAATTAACAATATTCTACTAATAAATGTGAAAACCCTAAAAGTCTACTAATGCCATAATGAAAGTTACTTGTAGTTCCAAAGTTACCAAAAAATATATCTAAAGGAGATCATGTAAATAAAGTGAAATCAAATATTTTTAGTCAAGACGCTAAAATGAGAGATTCTGTGCCACTTTCACAGGTCGTTTCCCACAGAGGAAAGCACTGAAAATGAAGACATATACATCCATTTGGCAGATCTCATCGAGTAAGTATGAATCTCTCCCTCAGTCGGACAGTTGTTTTTGTTTGGAAGAAATGAGGTGCTAGTTTTAAACTGCAGATCATTAGTGTTTGTGGTTTTAGTCACCCACGTGTATGTACGTGTTTTGTTTCTGATAAACTCTTGAATTGAACAGTTCATATTTTCAGTAATATGACATCTATAACCTACTTCTGCGCTGAGTGGGATGAATGTGAATGACTGATTAATAGTAAGTGTGGAAACAGGAAGTTGTGTTTCCTTAAAAACTGAACCAAATGTACCCCAGTGCACTGAATTATAATAATCTTATAACATGATAACAGTGGGTATCTCTATATAATCATCTGATATTTAAACGTATGGTGGTGGATTATGGATGCAATTTTTACATACTGATGTGTATAATATATATATATATATATATATATATATATAGCTTCTCCTGATCATCAAGACTGCATTTATTTCATCAACAATACAATACAAATTCTTCTTATATATAAACTTCTTATATATATTATTCTTATATATTATATCTTATCTTCGTATAAGATATAAAACAAATATCTTTGTTTTACTTATATTTAATGATAATTTTTTACGTCAAACGACAATTTCAGTTTATTAATTTCTGTTTTAATCAACTCCATAAGTTTTGGTAAATTATCCCCAGAACAAAAGATACTTGTATCATCAGCAAATAAAATAAACTTAAACAACTCTGATATCTTACACATATCATTAATATAAATTGTAAACAATATCGGACCTAAAACTGATCCTTGTGGTATGCCACAATTTACATTTAGATATGACGATTTATAGTTGCCAATCTCCACAAACGGTTGCCTATTTTATATATATGATTTTCATGATAGGAATTATAGAATAGGAATAAATTGACATTGACTGTAGTTTGGAATCTCACAAAATGTGGCAAATTTTGAAGACTACATTAACAAATTAACGGAAGTAAAGACATGATCACATGAACTTTATTTCCAGAGCTGCTCTGCCAGTCAGCAGTATTGAAATGTTTTATTTGCGGAAAAATAACAACACCAAACAAAAAGTATTGTCCATATAACATAATAAAAAGTCGTTTTACAGAGCGCTTAAATTTGGGGAAATATGGACCAATTGTTACAGTAAATATAAATACAATTTTGTAACCTGACCCTACAACTGTCACTCAATAGCAAATATATATTTGGTCGAACAGTGAATTTGAACATGATTTCTATGGGTCATCAAAATGTCTTAAATTGTCCAATAGTAATTCGTACTTCCACAATAAGGCTATTGGCAATAAGGTCTTAAATCTGAGGTTATAAATTAACACAGTCATAGCATTAAATGTTCATGCATAGACACATTTTCAAGTAATTACCTTTTTCAATCATTTTTAAATTATTAAGAATTAAGTTGAAATAACTTGTAAATTTCATTTAATCCGAAAATGGAAGCAGCACTAACTGTATTCCTCAGTATTTTGATTTGCAAATGCAAATATCTAAACGTTACAAAATCAAGATTTATTTACTTGAGACAAAATAGTCAATTACTTTAGATACTTGAGATAAAATAAAGGAAGTCAGAACAAAATGAAGCGAGACTTGCAAAATTATGCTTAAAAAATAATAAATACCTGGCGGTGGGTTGTGAAATTACTTTTCAGTTGAATGGTGCATTCTGAGCATACCGACAGATATTTGTTCTTATTTTTTATAATAAACTCATTTCATTACTTTAATAATTACTAATTTACTCATTACTTTCATAAAAGACTATAATCTTATGTCAACTCATTTTGCTTCCCGAAACATCATAACTTAATTTAGGAATCTTTAAACATTTTGCATTGGAATGCAAGACAAAAATATTGAGAAAGACACAGCACTTTTTTTGTAGTGTGATCAGAAGGTACAAAGAAAAGTTTATTTTAAATGGTAAATGTTTGAAGTGATTCAAACCTCTAAGGTATAAAAAGTAACAAAGAACAGTACAAAGTTTCCCTTTCAAACTTTGAAATGTTGTATATGCAACTCATTGTGTTCTCACTATAAATGTACACTTTTTAGCATAATACATAATAACATCATAGTGTTTCCATCAAATAGATAATTTAGTTATTTCCTGGTCTTAAAATGTTTATACATTTATATCATCATAATTATCGACACTGATATGACAGATATTATCATTGCCTGTATTTACCAACCCACCAGTAGTTACAATGTGTTTTTTTGAATAGAATTGTTGTATAATCATATGGTAATGATCTGATTTTGTGTGTGTGTGTGTGTGTGTGTGTGTGTGTGTGTGAGCAGCGAGGAGCTGGAAGAAGATGTTTATGACCCTGTGTATGGAGACATTGAAGGAGGAGAGGTGTATGAGGACCTGATGAGGACTGAAGCTGCTGTGTCTCAAGCGGTACATAAATGACTCACACACACACACGCTTCCAATGCATCAAAGTGTTGATTTTCTTTGTAAAACACCTACTCCTTCTCCTACCAGAAATATGCTCACTTTTTTTTTTTTTAAGTATCATTATGAGTAAATCCACTGTACACTAACCATTAAAAGAAACTGAAAATAACAAACTGGTCTTTAAACTTTGTGAGCTACTTTGTGACTCTTTAAATTGAGACTTATGTTAACAAATGTTGTGCATTTGGTAATTATTAGATTTTGTGGCTCTTTTTAGTATAAAGAAAATATCACAAATTATACATTCAAAGATTATCTGTTACAACATATAATTTGAAAACTTATATTTTTCTTCTGCACAGAACCATAAATCTTCACTTCAGCCACTCTTACAGACAGAAAAAGGTTTTCCTAAAGGCTTTATTAGTTTGAGTTATTTCGCCTAAATTATTAATTGATTTATTTATTTTTGCAGTATTTTCTGAATTATTGTTTTACTTTTTTTATTCTAATATGTAACAATATGAATAATAAAAACAATAATAAGTAAAAAAGAAAGAAATTACAATTTAAAAAAAAATCAAATAATAATACACAGTACATATATGAAGTGAAATGGTTTTTACAACTGCCCTGAATTTGAATAAAATATATATTTTAAAAAACTACTAACACTCCTGATAAATTTTAATTCTTTTAAAAAGTGATGTTTAATCGAGAATTTTTTTTTTTAACACATTATTAAACAGTACTTTAACTAGGGATGTCCCGATCAGGGTTTTTTGCCCTAGAGTCTTGACTCTTTTGATTTTGAGTGTCTACCAAAACCTGATCCGATACTTCTTTAATACATAAAAAAAGAATAAAGAAGAGCGAAGAAACAGATCCAGAATGTTTCTTATATTTTATTTAGTTCATCTTATTTTAACATTCAACAATTCTGTTAAGGTAGCTTGAACAATCAAGTAATAAATGACATCAATTCTTTACTTTTGGACTTTGGTGCAACAGTAAATATAAAAAAATCTAATATAAAAACAAATAGCACCTCAACTTAAAATACCCGGCAGGCAATCCTAAGTTTACATATCTCACAGTTTGCTATGGCAATGTTATCGTCATCAACTTTATAATACCTCTAGACCACAAACATTCTTGTGCTTTCCACTTCAAGCTGCTTCCGTGTTCTACTTTGCTATCATTTAACATTTGCTATCATTCATGCTGCATGTGTTGCTGTTTCTGTGTAGATTCAAGAAAAAGGTATATATATATATTTATATATATATATATATATATATATATATATATATATATATATATATATATATATACAGCTTAAAGTGACATTTAATGGCTTTACTTGGTTAATAAGGTGAACTAGGCTGGTTAGGGTAATTAGGCAAGTTATTCTATAACGATGGTTTGTGCTGTAGACTATCGAAAAAAAATTAGCTTAAAGGGGCTAATAATTTTGTCCCAAAAATAGTTTTTAAAAAAATTCAAAACTGCTTTTATTCTAGCCGAAATAACAAATAAGACTTTTTCTAGAAGAAAAAAAATATTATCAGACATACTGTGAAAATTTTCTTGCTCTGTCAAACATCATTTGGGAAATATTTAAAAAAAAAAAAAAAAAAAAAAAAAATATATATATATATATATATATATATATATATATATATATATCCTGAGGTAACGGATTCCGATCATGATTACGATTCTGAAACCACATATTTGGGCTAGATTTCCGAACATGTGATCGGATCTGGACATCTCTACTTTTAATAGCTAATTCCTAATAAATTTTGTCTTAACCATGGTGACAGTACATCATATTTTACAAGTTATTTTGCAACATACTAGTATTCAACTTAAAGTGCACTTTAATGGTTTAGGGCTGGGGTGTCCAAAATCAGTCCTGGAGAGCCGGTGTCCTGCTGAGTTTAGCTCCAACTTGCTTCCACACACCTGCCAGAAATTTTCTAGTATATCTCTTAAGAGCTTGATTGGCTAGCTTAGGTGTGTTTGATTAGGGTTGGAGTTAAACTTTCCTAGACATTATTTATCAGTTATTAGATTAAGTTATTGGTTTAGTCTGTAGACAATCAAAAAATAAATAAATAAAGGGGCTAATAATATTGACCTTAAAACTGATTTAGTTTTTTAAAAAATGATTCTAGCCAAACTACATAAAATTAGACTTTATTCAGAAGAAAAAAAATCTTGCTCTGTTCATCACTTTCAAAAAAGAATAAAATTTCACTGGAAGCCTAATCATTTTGACATCAACTGTATATACTGTTTAAGAAAAATAATGCATATTTAAGAAAGCGAAAGAGACAGTGGTCAGTGAAAAAAAAAAGTAAATTTTTATACGCTCACAGAAGAATAAATATAAGATATGGAACACTAAGTATTTGAAAACATTAAAAACTGTTCATAATTCATATTTTTGAACTAGAAATGCATACATTTGGTAATGAAATAGCATTTAATTTGTGTATCTAAGGGAAGTTTCACAAACTAATTTCGCGAGGAGCACATGATGTGATTGACTGCAGCTGGTCTCTCATCTTCAATCATTAGCTAGCCAGTCAGACTAATCCAAAATCACTATAAGTAGCATAGCAAAAGTACTCCCTTATCATCAATTTCCAAAGAAACCCCCCATTCACCCCTTCTCCCCCTTTCTTCCTTTACCAGGGGAGCTCTTGAGAACTACCTGATCTCAAACTCTCCTTACATGCTCAATCGACCAGGCGGGAGCCCTGGGCTCAATTATCTCAGAGCTCAGGGTTCTTTCCCTGGACAGCATGCCAATCCTGCTAACATTTGTCAAACAATATCTAAGTGTGAACTCTTGAAAGAACATTTAAAATAACAATCCTAAATGTCATCAATCTACTAGGAAAGTGTGGCAATAACTATTAGCTATTTTCGTAATATTCACCTGCAATGCCTTGCCTTAACTTTATAAGGTTGTTATTTTTAAACAACTTTAAAGCTGTTTTGTCTGGCTGGTTGTATACTTGTCTTATGCTAGTGAGTTGTGTTGACAGAAACAGGCCGAGGTGGACATCAGAAGCTGCTGTCTTTTAGAGATCAAACAGACAGAAGCCAAATACACAGAGACTCTAGAGACCATTGAGAAGGTGAGATTCACAGCCTCAGCATGGGGAGTTTCATCACGACGCTCTGCACATACACTGATGGACAGCTGTTGCCGCACTTTACAATCTATATATATTTCGTTATGTTTTAACAGTATTTTATGATTCCACTGATGAAATTCATCCCTGCAACAGATATTGATAAGGTTTTCATCAATATACCGGTGAGCAAAGCTGTGTTTTTGACATATAAAAAAAGAAAAGTTTAACTTTTCCACTTTTTAAACATGCTGCATGTGCTTTACAGGACCTGGTTAAAGTTCACAAAGGTCTAATGGGTGAGATCCAAGACTGTGTTCAGAATAAAAATGCAGAGAATCTTCATCAGATCTTCATCACTTACAAAGACAGGTATAAGACCGCCATGTACAAATGCATTTATTCATATATAATATTAGGGCTGTGGAATTAATCGAAAATTTGGTTTTGATTTTGGCTTCTAACGATTATGAAAAACAATTAATCGAGATAAACGATTATTGCATCATATACCGCCCCCTTTCCAGTTGTACACATTTGTTGCTCCTAAAAGTGCCAAAAACCGCATGCTTCTGTGTGTGTGTGTGTGTGTGTGTGTGTTTGTGCGGCGCGCTCTCAGCAATCAGGCTCATTCGCACACTGAGACGAGCAGAATGCACACATCTAAAGTCATTAACATGAGCGCTTTAATGGTCAAATAGGTGTCAAAACGAGGTGTTTAATGATTATTCATATTAACCCTCATTTGTGTAATAAAGTTAAGATTCAAGAAACGTGAAAGAGAAACCATTAAAGTGACAGCACTCTATTCCTTCTGCTGCCTGTTTTTATCATTAATCAAACAACAAAAGGAGAAAATCCCTCACTGCTCTCGACTGAAGGACTTTTGTAGCTAAAGTGTTTTTCATACAGTGAAGATGCTTAAAGCATTAAAGTTTGTTTAAAGTAAATGCTTAAAGTTTGTTTCATATTTTTATTTTATTGTACTTATTTCTTTTTTCTTTGCAGGGTGGAAAATAACTCTATATATGCAGTTGAAGTCAGAATTATTAGTCCATCTGAATATTAGCAACCCTTTTTCTCCCCAATTTCTGTTAAATGGAAATATTTTTTTTTCAACTTATTTCTGAACATAATAGTTTTAATCACTCATTTCTAATAACCGATTTCTTTTATCTTTGCTCTGATGACAGTACATAATATTTTACTAGATATTTTTCAAAATACAAGCATTCAGATTAAAGTGCAATTCAAAGGCTTCATTAGGGTAATTAGGCAGTTCATTGTATAACAGTAGTTTCTTCTGCAGACAATCAAAAAATATATTGCTTAAGTGGGCTAATATTATTGACCTTAAAATGGGTTTCAAAATATTTAAAACTTTAATTTTAGGCAAAATAAAACAAATAAGCCTTTCTCTAGAAAAAAAAAAGATTTCTCAGGAGCGCAAATAATTTTGACTTCACCTGATAATCGTTTTTAAAAAATCGTGATTACAATTATGACCAACATAATTGTTATTATGATTTTTCCCAAAATCGAGCAGCCCTATATAATATAATATAATATAATATAATATAATATAATAATACTGTGTTTGAACATTTTATTTTATTTGTAATCACCATTTCAAGTACAAACCTCTTAACCTCTCCCAATAAATAGTTACTTGACAAGCAAGACTTTTGTAAATTAATTTATTAAATCTTTTTTACTTAATGTGTTTTCTTTAATAAACAATTAATTCAATCCTTTATTGATCCATGTATATATTTATTTGGTTAAATAATTCAGTTATAATTTATATATACTGTATATCATTTTCCAACTTTTAAAATTGAGTTCAAATGTACAGTAGTTTGCAAACAGTTGTACTATACGTATATAGCAGTGGTAAGGAACCTATAACTTTTTGACCAAAAATATGTGGTTCTCCAGCTGTCTCCTTTCAATAATGTTTTGCTTTTTAAAAAATTATAACTGTCACTAGAAATCCAAAAGTTTCCAATTAAAAATACTGCTTCAAATTTATTATTATTATTATTATTTTTTTTTTTACAGTAAAATGAATAAGAACTCGGTTAACAGTAAAAAGACGTTTTGTTCAATGCTTGTGTGAGGAGCTGTGGGTAACCTTGAATTACTTGAAAATGCAACTTACGTTTCTATGATAACCTTGTGCACGTCATGTCAATCAATTTTCTTGAGTGGTGAGGTCGAACAGATAAGATTCTATAAATTGTTCTTTTTTTTTGCCATGGACATATATGTTTGTTTATTTTTGAGTTGTGCCTGAACTTAAAAAAAATTCATTTTTTTTAAGAAAATAAATAGAAATGGCTCATTGCTGAAAAATGGTTCCTGACTCCTGATATATAGTAATATATTTAATTTACATATTTTTAATTACATGTTTGAATTTAATGTTATCAATAGTTTATAAGTAAAATAAAAAAAATAATGGTAAATCCAGAGATCCGATATTTACCTTGAAGTCTAGCTGATGCTTTTGTCCAAATTACATACAATTATTAAGGCATTCAGTCATTCAACAAAAAGAGGCAATACACACAAGAAGTGATCGTTATATCACTTTATTACAATCATACACTGTACATACAGTTGAAGTCAAAATTATTAGCCCCCCTGTTTATTTTTTTTTTCCCGGATTTCAGTTTTTTTTCTTGAACATATTTCTAAACATAATAGTTTTAAAAACTAATATTTGACTAGATATTTGTCAAGACACTTCTAGGTTACCTAGGCAGGTTCAGGTAAATAGGCGTTATTGTATAACGAGGATTTGTTCTGTAGACTATCGAAAAAATATATAGGCTAAAAGGGCTAATAATTTTGACCATAAAATGTTTTTAAAATAGAACTAAAAACTGCTTTTATTCTACATGAAATAAAACATTAAGACTAATAATAAGAATTTCTCAAGAAGAAGGAATATTATCAGACATACTGTGAAAATTTCCTTGCTCTGTTAAACATTTGGGAAATATTTAAAACAGAAAACAAAATCTAAACTTTTACTGTATATGAATTTAAATGCTTCTTACAACTGCCCTGATTTTATATAACATATAGAAAAGATAGTCCCCTAATGTTGTTTAAACTAAATAAAATAAAATAAGACTTTATCTAGAAGAAAAAAAACATATAGGAAATACTGTATTTTTTTATTTTTTTTTTGCTCTGTTAAACATCTCTTAATAAATAAAAAATTCACAGGAGGCCTGACAATTTTGACATCAACTGTATATATAAGAAAAAAAGTGGATATATAAGAAAACAAAAGAGTGGCTAGCTAAAAAAAAGTAACTAGTATGAAAATTAAATCATTCGTAAAACAAAAAGAGGTGATACACACAAGAAGCAAGAGAAAGAAAGAGATAAGAGTGTTTCTACGGATGGTTTGTCAAGCCCACTCACTTGTGTGTAGCTTACTTTATAAATGCATAGTGTATTTTTGTTATTATTTTGTAAGAATATGACTGGTGCGAATGTGCAAGTGTCGGTTAAAATTTCAGAGAGATGAAAGTGTGTGTTTTCTACAGGTGATTTGTGAAGCCCACTCAACTGTATGAGGCACACTTAGTTTGGGGGTGTGGTCTCCCACTCATCAAATAGTCTCTTGATTTTTTTTCCAGAGCTATTAATTGATGTATTCATTAAAAAAATCACTCATCGTGTCATACACAATCAAATGTGTAGAATCCAATTGTCGTTGAAGTCTGCTGAGCTTTCGTTGAATTTCTGCAGGCGTGTTTAATATTTCATATTTCTAGAATGATATGACTAAGCTCTGCTGATGTGTGTGTTTTTGCTAACATTTACCCTGTCTGCTTTAGGCTTCTGCTTTATGGAAAATACTGCAGTCATGTAGAATCAGCCATTTCTCTCTTAGACTTCATCTGTAAGGAAAAAGAGGGCGTTCGACTGAAACTGGAGGTGCACAACAATGTTTCATTCATATTATCAATATTTCGGTTTCATTTTAGAATCATGACCCAGAAAGTAAAGGTTATATATGGTATCTAAAATATAAATGCTATACTATTTTTTTATGCTTAATGCTGCTGTATTTATTTTATTTTATGTTGCAGGAATGTTCAAAAAGAGCCAACAATGGGAAATTCACTTTGAGAGACTTGCTTGTGGTGCCAATGCAGCGAGTGCTGAAATACCCACTTCTGCTTCAGGTACAATAATAAACAACAAAAGTATTAGCAGTATGTAAATATTTAAACTATTACCTTATCCTATTTAAACACATTGATTTAAATCTTTAACATAAGCATATGTTGCTGCTTGTTGAAACTACTTATTTAGAATGCGCTGAAACTACAAAATTCTTGAGATTTTATGTTTAGTTTACTTAAATCTCTTAAATTTGTCAAAACCAGTGAGCTTAACTTATTTTTGTTGGGACAACATGAAGGAATTATGTGCAATCCTGCATTTTTCAGTGTGCAGCATGTTGTCCTACTAAGAAACACCACATGGGGGAGCCGTCTGGCTACTTTTCTCCTCATTTTTGGCTCCACTACTTTAACTTAAAGAACTTGTCATTGCTGCTGTAGAAAAGTTTTGCTCTCTTGTATTAAGCAGAGTGGAAATTTGAGATAATGTCCAGCTTTGCAGAAACCAAGAGGTCATTATTTTAAAGTCAACACGAAACTGCAGCCAAAACCCTGTTTTACATCCATAATTTGATGCACTGAATATTAAAAGAATGTGAGACTGGACTTGAAATGATCCATTTGGTTATTATAGTAAAGAGAATGAAGACATTATGAGCACCAGTTAAAATTTGCACAATGAATTGGAAAGTATAATAAATAACTAAGAGCAGTTTGGATTTTAAATGGACTTTTTACAAATGTATTACTTACATATAAAGAGTGGCATTATTTGTGGGATATAAAAGTTGGTAAAAATTAAAACAACAAATTCAGAGAGGGATGGGTGCATTCTGCAAAGTCACTTGACCAAAACTGAGGTCAGTTTTTTGAACACTAGTACCGACAGATCAAATGTTCTTATATTTTCTTTGTTACAGAATCACCTCAAATTTTCATTTTGTTCTCTCTTATTCCTTAAGACTTCCTAATATCAATGTCCCTGTTGGATTTAATTTCCATCCTGCTCTAGATTTAGTAAAGGAAGTGAGTCTTGGGATATTGATGCACTTTAAGGGGGTGGGTTGCCCAAAATAATCCTAATGATTTTCCCTCTCTACATTGAAAATCAATAGATTTTAACCTCACTGACTTTGAAAAATGGCTGTTTGTGTTACAAAAGGAAATGAATTTGTAAATATTGGTGTATATATTATTCTGTGCTGAAGTTTTAAGTGAGAGCTGTTTCACTATGACATGAGAACAGAAGTGAGTGGACAAGCGTTAGAAATGTGTGTCGCCAGACACCTGTCAGCCTCACACACACAAACACACGCGGATAAACAAAGCAGGGACAGGTGGCTGCTTATCTGACACTCTGCCTCATGCAGGCATTCAAACACATTGGGGAATGACCCTAACAAACTCTCTTTGTATCTGTTTTTTGCCCTTTTTGTGGAACATTGTCTAAAAAACCCTTAATAGTATCAGATTTTTACAAACTCATATGAAATATTTCATTTCATATATTACAAAGGGATTTGTTTTTATTAAAGCTCTAATCATATTTTAATTAATTTTCCATGATATGATGTCAGGGCATCATGGTGGTGCAGTGGTAGCATAATTTCATGATCCCAGTAAGAAGGTCGCTTGTTTGAGCCCCAGCAGGGTCAATCATTCTTCATTTATCAACTCTTAGTAAATGTGGGATAGTTGCAACTTTAGAATAACGTCCCAATAACATACATAAGTTTATAACTAAAAGTTAACTGCCATATTAATTCTCACTTTACAGATCAGTTGTTCATAGTTTGTTTACCATATAATAACACCAGTGAAACTTTTGTCAAATTTTTTAAATAAACTATTTTTATTTATTTATTTTGTTTTCATGTTTAGCACAAAAAGTGCCCAAACCTCATGGGTTTTCATTCTGTTGTATACTGCTGTTCTGCCATGTGATGGCCCAGTATGTGTGTTTTTATACATTAAACACAACGTTCAACATTTCGTCTGTGGAGTTTCTTTGGGAAAACACAGCACACAGAAAAGCCTATGAGTGGAACAAGGTTAAGTACAAACATTTTATATTTTAAATATCAGATCTAATTTTTGTAGCTTGAACTTGTTCCACCCATTTGCTATTCTACGAAGTTTCACTGCTATTATTAGATAGTTAACAAACCATGAACAACTGATCTGTAAAGTGTGAGTTAATATATTAGTTAAGTGTTAGTTATAAGCTTAAGTATGTTATTGGGATGTTATTCTAAAGTTGTAACTGTTCCACATTAACTAAGAGTTAATAAATGAAGAATAGTTGCAACTTTAGAATATCGTCCCAATAACGTACTGTGTATAAACTATTAACTGAAACTTAACACATCAATAGTAAGTAATTTACCAACATCTTGTTCATCATCTATTACTAATTTATTAGGTATAGTTATAAATCATTAAAATACAGTTAATAAGTAATTTATAACTTGTCAACTAACAGCTTGTAAGTTATCTGTTGGCTATCTATAATGCACATATAAATAATTAACAAACTATTAACTTTTATTTAACCAGTCACTTATAACTTATTAACTAACAGTTTATTAATGATCTATTAACTAGCTATAACTGATAGTTATTCTAAAGTGTTACCTATATTTTTATGTCAAGTGCACATGGCAAGTCCGGTGTAGCATTTGTATAGTCACATAACCTATACCTTAATTCACGCCCCTAAAAAGACAAGTAATAAGTTTAAAAAGATCAAAATCCCTTTAAAGCACTCTGCAGCCATCTTGGAAATGCTTCTCATGCAGTATATTCTGGCATTCTGACCGAATGGGAGACATGAAATTCTCTAAAACTATTTGCTAAGCTTAAGTTTATTACATATCTGGAATCACCAATAAAATTAAACAACTGACTTATAAATTTTGTTTCTAAACATTTTAATCAAACAAAATCTGCAATTTTTAAAAAAGTTGCCCAAGCTAATGCACAAATGAGATCAGGACACCAACCTCATTCATACCGATTCTACACATTATCATCCTCTGGATAATGACTGTCTGAATGTGCTGCTCTTCTGAAGTAATTCACAACTTGGTCTTGATGGCGAGTCTCCTCCAGAAATGACAGCAACTCTTTGTTTATAAGTTTGTCGGCGTTTGAGTAGTTGCTGCTGTCATTTAATGTGCGTTTGACAGAATGGACTGTACCTCACATTCATTTCATACACATTACAAAACCAGAAAAGTTTTGTTTTCAAGTGTAGTTCATTTAAAAGTAGAGATTTCAGGTATTCGCTGAGATTTCAGTGTCTTTGTTAACCACATAAACTGCCGTAAAAGCACACGTCTGGCCTGAACTTCTCCACCGGAGAATCTTCAGTCTATAGCAATCAATGATTGGCTCCTAGACTATTAGATGTGGCTTTATTCACCATATTGAACGTTACACTTTTCCCCATTTTCCCATTCACCATTTGCTTTTTAAGTCATGACATATAGAATACTTTTTTGCATCCAAGCCACTACTTATTTGAATAGAGAAATATTTGTTTATGAAAACTTTTTAGTCATATCACAGATTAAAGTGAATTTTATACGAAATCATTGTATACACAACAGTCTCTGGACTTGCTGCATCTCAGACACCAATATTTGAACAATTTATACTAAGTTAATCACTTCTGGCCATCGCATATTAGGCATGAATGCATATATTACCATTGTGATTTTTCACATCGTTTTCTTAAATGTTTTAATTTAAATTACAATATTATGATTTGTTAAGTGTTTAGACCTGAATGCCGATTCGCATGACGTCACACTTGACAAGTGGATACGAGTGGCATGTCTTGTGTATTCTATACTCTTTGAAAGGACTTAAGAGTGCAAGATTGGTCGACTTGGAAATGGTGATGAATGTGGGCGGGGCTTAAATCCAGGGAAGCTCAAAACAATAGCAAAGAAACTAGACGCAGTAGAAGATAGAAACTCCATAATAAAAATTCAGATGCAGACTCTAGATTTGCTGTTGTGTAAAATAATGAGTACAATCTGATGGCTTTCTTATACCTGTAGTTTTCAATTCCTTCCCATCATGCATCTCTTGCCATTGTGCTGATGCTTAAGTCATATCTATGGCAACTGATGTAGATACAGCAGATATTGAGAGCTGTAAATGAAAAACTCAATCGAAGTTTATTGTTTCCAACAAAATAGTGCAAAATAAAAACAACCAAACAAAGATACTGATGCATGTGTGAAAACTGCAGGATTTACTTGTAAATCTATAGGAACGAACACTGAAATCTCAGTCATCCGTTACGTCTGTAATTGGGTCTCCATAAGCTCCTGCTCTGTGTTACACTGGCACCTCCAGTACATTAGGAATATACACAGACTAGTAGCACATCCACACACACACATTCCCAACACACATGTGTGAACTTCAGTCAAAGTCATGGCAGCGGTCTGGGTCAGAATGTAAATCTGGAAAGAGTGCTGAACTTTCTAATCACCTTGTTTACTCGCTGCGATTGGGCTGTTTGTCTCTCTCCAGCAGCATTCGATTGCACTCTGAAAACAAATGCATGCTTCTGATGAGCCGCACAGATTTCACACTTGGAACAACACCATTTCTCTCCCAGCGTGTTTGTGTGCTCGCTAGTCTGTTTGCACACAAATCCAAAGGCCAGATTTGTTTATCAAGTTAATTAGATATGTTATAGCGGGGATCTCAAAAGGTTCTGTTGATGTTCTTTTCCATACCCTGGAATAAATCTGCTTCAAGTTAAAATGTCTATCATATCCTCAGAACCTGGACCACTGGGTATTTTGAGTCTTTCAGAAAAGCTCATGATTGCATCCACATGTTATAGAACAGGGCAGGGATATCATTTTGAAATGTGTAGATTCAGGCACATGGTGCATTCATTCTTGTCAAGTTTGTTTTGATTAAAATAAACTCTGGTGTGATTGCTCTGTTAGTTTTTGCATGTAAATAGATATGATTAATATTATTATTTTTTTGTAATGTTAATTTAAAGGAAAACTATTTTACCTTTTTTTACAAGATGTAAGACAAGACTTCGGTGTCTCCAGAATGTGTCTGTAAAGTTTCAGCTCAAAATACCTATCAGATAAATTATTATAGCCTCCAGAATTTGTCCATTTTGGTTTCTGAGTACATTGTAGCTGATTTTGTAGCCTGTGGCTTTGAATGCAAATGAGCTGCTCCTCCCTGCCCACCGTTCCCATGTGTGGGTCTGCATCATGCATTATGCCAGGTAAACAGCAGTCAGTGATAGAGACAGACACGGATAAAGCTGAAATACAGCTCATAGTCAAAAATACCAAGTAAGTTTATTTCATTAATAAAAGCCTTTCTGAAATGATGAGTCTCATACAAATGCCATTTGCAGTACACACACACACACACACACACACACATATTAGCGTTTACTGACACCATGCGGCTGTGGGAATTTATAGAGATTAAGAATTACAGTGCTTTTAGTGATTTTACCGTCTTTATTACAAACATGCTCTATTTTAAAAGCATTTTAAACTTATAGAAATCATAAAGAATTGGAACAAATATTTGAATGCCAGTTTAGTTGTTAAAGAAATGTTCTTTCTTTCACCTGTCAAACACTATGGGCCCTATCATACACCCGGCGCAGTGTGGCGCAAGGCGTGGCGCAGTAGTCTTTTTGCAGTTTCAGCTTGGAGCAAGAGTCGTTTTGAGGCGTTGCGCTATGCTGTTTAAATAGCAAATGCATTAGCGCTCATTTGTGTGCCCATAGGCGTTCTGGTCTAAAAAGGAAGCCTTTCTGAGGCAGACCGCTGGCGCGTTGCTATTTTGAGAATCTATAATAGATTTTTCATTAAACCAAAACTAACCCGGTCTAAACTCCGGCGCAGAGTTGCGCCTCGCTTACACACTGCTTAATACGCACAAGAGAGCAATAGGCAAATATCTTTACATATGAAAAAAATGTAAATATTAAGGATATATATAGTATATAATAAGAATAGATATAGAATATAAATATAAAGGATTCAAATATTACAAAACATATTATTTCTTAGCCTACATAAATATGAAAAACCACTGCTTTATGTGTTCTTTATCTCGGGAGGCTTTTTCAGTTCATTCATAACAATTTGCTTTTGTATAGTGTTATTATTATTAGCAGTATTATTTATTATATCCATATTTATATTTGTTTTATTAAAAAACAAGCTTAGATTTGCCCACCTGTCAGGTTTTAGACCATAAGGGGCACAGCATGTGTTTTAGGATATAACTCAGGTTTTTGAGCACATTTTGCTATTATTATTCATTTATTCGTTTGCTGGAAATTAGAACTGAATTTAGAACAAAAGTATTTATTTATAGACTAATTGATGTCTGTGTGTAAAGGTTTCCCTATCCAAGAGCGAAAGTGAAAGTGATCCATTATCTCTCATTCTCACGCAGTAAATGCTCTGTTATACTGTATAAAAAACTGTTAACTGTGAACTGTTTGCTTGTGAAATGCTCATTTTTTCCACTTAGACTTACTTTGCATCCTGTAAATAGTGAATGTGCTCTTGGCTTGACGCAGCAGACTTTTAAAGGGAATGGGAGATGAGATTCTAATTGGTTTATTCTCAAAACACACCTATAACTCATTCAGAAAATAAACTCATCCCTTTTAGAACATGCGCCTCGGCGCAAGGCAAATTTCCCGTCCTTAAATTAGCAAAAACGCGTCCTGACACGCCCTGAAAGCGTTGGCGCCCTGCGTTTTGCGCTCTGCGCATGGACCGTCAAAATAGAGCCCTATGTCATATGCGGTGGCCTGAATCACTGGGATTTGGGTACTATTTTAACAACAGGAAATAAAAAAAAAGAGATGTGTTGGGTTTTTATCACTCCAGTATGACAATGGACACACTATACATATACATACAGTTCTGTCCAAACAGCTTACAAAAGTTGATTTTCATCATTGGTGTCCTTTAAGTTCTTATAATAGTATTTATTTTACGGTTATTTTAATGGCTTTGAGGATTTTTGCTAATGTGGTATATGCACACAGAGACTTAACTTTCAATAAGCCAGCTCAAGCGCTTCTGGAGTACTGTCATTTCATTAAAAATTGCTGCGTTTAAGATCTGATTTCTTTAAAAATAAATGATTTTCATTGCCTGATTAATATAGGATACTGTGGGATTCAGACCGGATAAGAAGTGCAGAATTAAATTCTTACATCCTGCGCCCTGTTTTTAAAATATGGAAATTTTATTTTAACGCAGTATGCAGAGGTTCAGTGCTTGTTTGCTGCTTCCAAAGGTTTTTGCGTTTAAATGGTTAATCATCTAGTTGAAACCTTGAACAACTATATGATTACCTAAGTCTATTTAACTAATTATGTTTTAATTACATTGATGCTGTAATAAAAACCTTACAACATTGAAAATAGTCACATTTTTCACTTTTCACCTGAAGTTTATTGGTGGCTGAAAAACACTATTTGTGCTGTTAATAAATTAATAAATCAACACCACATAGTTTAAACATCACAATACTGCAAGATTTTGTTTCATAAATGAAAAATATGATTATTATAGCGGTGTATTCAAGTATTTGTTCACTTTCTTTTATCCAATTATAGGAACTGGTCAAATATACAAATGACGGCCCCGAAAAGAGCAACCTACGAATAGCCCTTGATGCTATGAGAGTAAGTATAGATTTCTTATGGAATTTACAGCAATAATGTACAGAAAGTACAGATTAATTATTAAGAAAAGCATGAAATGTCTTCACAGTAGAGTTTTCTTTCACGTTTGAGGTGTAAAAAAATAGGGCCCTATTATACACCCGGTGCAACAAGGCGCAAGATGTGTTTGCCGTAATTTGTTCCTATTTTCTGACCAGCGCAACTGCAATTTTCATATTTTGCGCCATGTTGTTTAAAGAGCAAATCTATCTGTACCACTTTGTGGACTCTTGGGTGTTCCGGTCTAAAAAGGAGGTGTGTTAAGGTGCATTTTTGGTGCTTTGCTATTTTGAGGAACTGAAATAGACTGTGCAATTGACCAACTAAAAGCTGGTCTAAAGTCCAGAGCAGAGTGGGTTAGTTACGCCCCTATGCGGGTTCAAAACCTATACGCATTACTTAATACACACAGGATGTACAGCAAATATCTTTACATATGAAAAAAAAATAAGAATTAAAATGCTACAAAAATGATTTTTCATCTATATAAATATAAAAACCACTCCCTCCATGCCTTCTTCATGCCGGGGGGTGTTTCTCAGTGTATTTATTACAATTTGCATTCGTGTAATGTTATTATTATTAGTAATATTATTTATTATATGCATATTTATATTTGTTTTAATAAAAAAAAAATGGGTAAACCAAGGCATATTCAAATGAAAAGAGAAGTTTAGATTTGTCCACCTGCAGGTTTTGGAGACGTACGCATCACCATATGGGAATAAGAATAGGATGCGTGTTTGGTTATAACTCAGTTTTTTGACCACACTTTATTGTTAATATTCATGTGTTTGTTTTCTGGAAATTAGAACTGAATTTAGAAATAGTTTTCAAACAAAGCTTAACAAACTAAATTAAATATGTAGGCTAATGGATGCTTTAGACTTTGTGTTTTTGTGCCATGTGCTTTAGACTTTGCGCCTAGATCATCAAAATAGAGCCCTTTAAAAGTGGCCAGAAAGCTTTAGATTAGTTGCAACAATGAACATGTGTGGCTACTTTCTAGTTGCTAGAAGATGCAAGTAGACAAATAAAAAAAAACAGCTTTTTTATCGGCCACATGGAACCTTTCATTGCACTAAATGTTCTTTATCATGGAGAAAGGTTCTTCAAATTATATAGTTTTAAGGTACTGTATTTTGCAGTACTTGATCTCAGTTAAAACATGAAGACAGGACGGGGCAAGTAGCTCCTCCCCTTAAAAAAAAAAAAAAAAAAAACTATCACTAGCATTTCAATAATATCACAGCTCTGACAGTGACAGTGGTCGACTTCAAGCGCATCAAATGAAAAGCAAATGAGAAGCATCTTGATGGGGGTGAGACATGTCTGATACTATACAGCATTTGATTTGTCAAACAATTCGATAAGAAACTGAAATATGAGGTAATATGTCAAAAAAATCACGATCTATTTATGCAGAAATGTTTAACTGCAAGCTTTAGATATTTAGATCTTCTAAAAGTGAATTCTGTCACTGTTTTGGAGCACACAAGATTATTGATGTCCTTAAGACTAACTCACTGATACTAACATACAAAAAACTTTAGTTTGATTTCACAGGGAGATTAGAAACAGTTCACTGAAAGGTTCTTTAGCAATCAAGAAGTGTTTCTTCTATGGCATCACTGATAGATGATGCTGTGCAGAGCGTCTGGGTATTGATTCAGATGCTCTGAATCAATGTGATTCTGTTTTATCGATGTTTAGAAGTACACTAGCATATTGGCTGCCTCAAAGCTACTGTAACACACATCGACTAAAAGCCACAAAATCTAAGATGCCATACTTATTACCGGCCTGGATTTCTCTTCAGCATGCGGCATCGCTTTAAGATCATTCCTGCATTGGTAATGTTTTCTTTAATATTGATGAGATTAAGGGATTCTAGTATGTGAAGTGATGTCAACAGCTCATTTCAGTCTCACTGGCACTGAGTAGATGGAAAGCGGATTAATGGTGATGTGAGAAGCAGTAATGGAACACAGGCCTGCGATGATTTAATTTGTTGAAATTATCATCTCAGTGTTGATTGGTTTAGCCGATTGGGAGCTGTGAGAGTTTCTCAGACAGGGACTGAACTCATCTACCTGCCTGCCTGTAAAACGCTCTGTTTAATTTAGACTCATAAGTGACTGTTTGAGCAGAGGCGGCCTTTTAAAATGGAAATCAGCCAAGATCCACGTCATCCCAGTGGGGTCTTTTGAAAGGCCTTTTTCAGTGCTTGGAGATGTTTGTACCTGCTGATGAAATGAAATCCTTTCCTGTTGGGAGACAAATAATTTTTCATTCAAAACAATGTTTTTCATTCATTTCATCTTTTTTTTTTTTAAAGCAGTTATACCGTATGATGTGCAATTTGAATCAAAGGTTTATTTGAGCATTGATTTCGTAATGTGTTTTTCATTGGGTTTCAATGCTTTGTCTCAGTTTTTCTTTAATATCAGCAGTGCTCAAGCTGTTTCAAACCTGATGTTCATGTTAATCATGTGATTCATTGTTTAAAAGCATATTAAAAAGTCACATTGCCTATGTCACAAATCAAATATACTTGTTGAACGGTTTTGTTTTAGAAATAGTGCAGAATCTGAAATATTTAATGGCTGCATGTGCTGTATGTAAATGTATAGAATATCAATAGCTGTATTTAACAATTCAAATACATTCAATGAAGGTGTAAAACTCTGCTACAAATTACAAATGAAAAAATATTGTCATTTAGAGCATGTTTTCATTCAGAAAACGACAATTGGTCAGAGTAACAAGTGCTGTTAAAATGTCAAAATCAATGTCATTCTTAACTAGTTGATGCATACTCACCATTTATTAATTGTAATATTGAAGTTCACAGGGATCAATTCTAGGACCAGTTCTGTTTAGTTTATACATTAATGATTTGCACTCAAGAAAGTTTCAGACTAGTTATGTAATTCGTGTCTTACTCTTAATGTAAGTAAAACTGTGGGAATTCAATTATAATACAATTTCAATTAAGAAAAATAAGAAACATTGCTCTGATATTTTAGTTAATGGAGAAGTAATAAATATTGTCGATCATTTTAAATGTTTAGGTATAATTATTTACTCTAAATTTTAAGAAACACAAGAAGGTTTCCCAAAGTGCTAAAGCAAACCTGTGGATTCATAGAAACATCAGGCATCAGTTACCTTTGGCTGCTGGAAAACTTTTTATGAACACTTATTATTATCTAATTACTTATTATCTTGTGTTCCCACACAAATATTACAGGATTAAAACCATTCTATATTATCTATAAACAAACTGTAAACACTTTAGCTGAAAAGCAGAGGGGCTATCACCACTGTAACTGTATTGAACAACAAACAATTTCCTTTTATGCTGATGTCTGTTTAATGTACAAAATATTTAATGATCTTGCACCACCACCTCTCAAACAATGTTTGATTGTCTGCAAGGACAATTTAAGACAAATTCAAGGTTAGAGGTGATTGTCTAAAAACAGCTCTCTTGAGTTTAACTGAACAATCAGTTTGTTTCTTTTTTCAGTCAGAGCAGCAGAAAGCTAGAATAAAATACCAGTGCATATTAGAGAGAGAACCACTTTTGACACTGTCCTTAAAGTTCAGCTTAAACAAAATCAAATATGCAACCACTGATTTGATTTCATTTTATTGACTATGATTAATATTGTTAAACTTGTTACAACTTAATGCCCAGGGAATATATGTTATGTATATTAGCTTTTTAGCTTACTCTGGCACATGTCATGTTGTACATTGTCCCTGTACAATTAAAAATAATAAATACATAAATAAATGAATTAAAACATTCTTAACCAGTTAAAACAGCAACTATTGATAAAGAAAGGAATAAGCCAAAGTAAAGTAAGTGAAGCTGTTACAAAATACATACGTTTAAGTTAATCAAAGAAGGTATTTATACAAAATGTAATTGTAATTATTCTCTAATATCTACATATAATCTACATTAAGTGCAAAAATTCTCCGGAAATGTTTCAATGGGTTCATTTTAAACCCAATGAATTGACCTTGATATGAGATCAGTAGTAGATTTCTATGTTCCAGTCTACGCCTCTTCACCTCGTTCGTTGACTTCTTTAAAGTGCCAGTTTTTAACCAGGTGTCCATTTTGATAAATGTAGTAATCAAAAAATAAATAAAATAAAATTACGAATGTACTATCACTAGTGATGTGCGATACCACTCGTTTCCTATCCGATCTGATACCAAGTAAAATGAAGGCGAGTATCGGTGATAACTATCCGATACCGTTTTTTTGCCCAAAATTACTGTTTGGGAAATTAAAGTAACAAGCAGTTTTCTTAAAAGTGTCACTTCATACTGAATACGAGACATATTACGGGTTATCCTTGTTTATTGATAAAGAGTTATCATCCAAAAAAGGAGCAAACTTACATATTTATTGACAGCATCTGGGCATGTATATCTTAAAACGCCTGCCTGAACATCTTAACATAAAACAATAAACATTCACACCTTTTGGTTTAGTGACATGTTAATTTGGTCCCCTTGAAGATTTTTTTAACCTTTTTCATCATTGTCACAAAAATCCAAAATACAACCTCATCGCCACATTTTCTCCCTCTGTACCTGGTTAGTGCCTCCCTGCTGCACTCTGAAAGCGATGTCTGCCTTGCCCTAGCAGCACCTGTGCCTCTCCTTTCCACCTCTTCTGACCACCTAGTCATGACGTTGTCATTTTCTGTCCTGTGATTTATATATATATATATATATATATATATATATATATATATATATATATATATATATATATATATATTAGGGATGTAACGGTATCAGAATTTCACGGTACGATAATACCTCGGTATACATGGCACGGTACGGTATTTATTGAATAATTTATAGGAAAAACAAAACTAATAAAAAGACTCGAAAAAAGTGCCAAAAGTGTTTATTTAACTTAGCTACAGCAACTGCAACTGCAATGTTTAGCAACTGAACATATTAATGACATACAAATTAGCCATCTAACTGTAAGTTTCGAAACAGGAACTTCAGTTTTTTAATTTTAATAACAAAAAAACTATATATAAAAAAATAAAGTTTCAATTTAGTATTGTTGAAAATTCATCACATTCAACATTTAATCACGCACTCACTTAGATAGAGATGGGTTTTTTAAGGAAAATTATCATATAACTATAATCTGGTAAAAGTTGGGATCTCTGGGCATGTCCCCTGCAACAGAAATAAAAAACCTGCATCAATCTAACAAGTGTGCTGTGTTCTGCAGTCCCCATGACTGTTTTTAGTCGTATTCCCCGACTTATATTTCACCACAGTCTGGCAGTGCCTGCATATTGTTTTTTTCTTTGTCTGTCACCTTTTCTCCTTTTTCGTATCTTTTTAAATAGAAACAGAAATGCTTCCACACATCCGATTTAAAACCCGCTTTAGGTTCGATCATTTCCAGCTCTTTTTCTTCCCCGCAACAAGCAACACCCTCCATTTCTGCATTACTGGATCTGTAGCGATAACAGACCGCAAAGGATGATGGCCACGCTTAGGCTGATGGGAATTGTTTTCTAATGGGAATCAGAAATATAGTTTTATCGAGTCATGCGCCTACGGTAATATTGAAAAAAATTACTATTGCGGTATGACGGTATTTACAATATGGTTACATCCCTAATATATATAGATGTTTGATTAGGTTTGTGGTATTACAACAGTACCTTGCTGTATTGTTACATGTGTCACAAACCGCATCGTTTGAGTTTATGGAAGTGAAGTAGCTCCACACATACTTCGCTTGCGGTCACCCACATCGAATGACAGCATGACTGACCAACATGTACCACTGCCACGCCAGCGGACTGAGTGGCTAGCAAGCGTGGTCTGCAGTTGTACAGTGCCATATTACACACATGACTTGCCAGGCGGAAGAACAAATAGTTCCGACTAAGTTTACATTATACAGATAAACTAGGGTAATTGTGGTTACTTTCTGCTGTATTTCCATTTCCAATAAATTACACATTTGCTCATAATTACTGAAATATGGTTATTTTGATAAGATAATCGATTCCAAAACATACAAAGCTGGTATTAGAGATATCGATATTTTAGTATCGATCTGCACATCACTAACTATCACTTAACGCCTAATGTGAAAGGACGGGGCTATTGTGACGCAGACGTGAAATCGCGAGATGAGTGAGTATGCATAGGTTGTAAATTACAGTTTCTAATGTGATTTTTTTTTTCTCTCTCAGTGAATTTATTTTACTCTCAAAAATATGACATGCAGTTTACCCAAGATAAATGCATAAAAGTAGTAAAAGATAAAATTTTCCGCCATTAAAAACATTCTTTCGCGCACCTTTGGTGGTCAGACTGCACACGCACGCCTGTTTGGGAACAGCTGTATATAATAAGCAATCTACAATCAGAGATAAATGCAGTAAATAAAAAGATACAAATGAAATGAACAGTGATGGCTTTCTGATGAGTCTTAAGAGTATCCAGGTACAGTAATTGAATAATCTAATGTAAAATGAGACTTTGTAGATTTGATTTTATTAAAAAAAATCAATAAAATGAATCATTATTAAAGTGACAAATGGGACAATTTCTTATGCCTGAATGATTTTAAAGCCCTCATACAGTTACAGACATCAAGAACACATGCAAATAAGCATAAGCACATATTATAATGTGACTATTGCAAATGGCCACATTACAGTATCGATGCTGAAATGATACTGTATATTGTGCATATATTGACATTTTTGTCCTAGGTTATGGCTAGGATCGCACACACCTTCCCATGGGGTTGTTTTAGAAATAAAAAGCTACACATTGCTCTGCATATGAATTTAAATGCAAATTTTCTTGTCCTCTATCAAACAGGACTTAGCACAATATGTAAATGAGGTGAAAAGAGATGTTGAGACCCTGAGGGAGATTGATCAGTATCAGAGATCCATTGAGAATTTGGTAAGCTTTACATTTTTAAAAATCCCTTCTCATTTAAAAGCATTGTTTACACTATTCTTATTTTTCTGTCTACGTCTTCACAGAATCAGTCTTTACTTTCTTATGGAAGACCGAAGGGTGACGGTGAAGTGCGTTTGGTGTCAAATTTGGACAAGCGCAGACAGGACAGGTGAGGCTTCAGGCAATAACCTTTACTGCAGGCTTCTCTTGTTTTTTCACTTCCCTGCCACATCTTGACATGCGTTGGTGCTGCAGACATATTTTTTTGTTCGACGCTGCTGTAATCATCTGCAAGAGGCGAGGGGACAACTATGAGATGAAGGAAGTGATCGACCTCAGCCATTTCAAGATCACCAATAATCTCGCTGATAAGGACTGCAGAAAGGTCAGTGAGAAACACAGCAACATCAAACAGTCATATTTTTACCATATGCTCATATTCGTCATATTATTCCATTCCAAAGGGTTTTATAGAGGTTGGACTTGTTTGGTTTTAAAGCACTGTGCAAAAGGAATTCTCCCACACATATGGCTTCAATAACTCTCCTTTCAACTGTTAGTGTCACAGAATAAAGTCTTTTTTACCTCTCTAAAAAGTTTTTGTCCTCTATAGGATACTGAAGGATAATTCTAGTTATGTTCAAACCATTTTAAGGTCGGTGTGACTTTCCGAGAGTGCATTTTTATGCAAATTAGTTGTGCTTTTGTAAGCTCTTTGAAACCCCTTCAGTCAGTAAAATGATCAGCAATATAGGAAAATGAAAGTGTTTAGCAAATGCGTGCTGTAAAAATGCTCTTAGATTAGAGTAGATAATCTTAGAAGTAAATAATAAAGAAAAATGAAAGGTTTAACAGTTCAGGAATTATTGCATTTCAATACGGTTTACAATTTACAATTTATATCAATATATTTAAATGTGGATTTATTATGGCTTGAGAAAGCCAACATACTGTTATACTAGCTAAACCTCTTGTTCTTCCGTCTTTTTCTTCTTCTGAGACTAATTTCTATATGCATCTCCGCCTTGACCATTCATACTATAACCACCAATCTTCCTTCAGATCTCCTAACTTGTCTGACTCGTGTTGCTATATCTTTGCCAAGTGATCCGACTCACGGTTTTCCCAAAACTGATCCGGAAAATTCGGAAAAGTCCCATTGACTTAACATTTGCACCAAACTTTGTGACCTCATAACTTTGTGCCAGACTGTTATACAGACTTAAGGTTATGCTAATTTAACTCAGACTACCAATTTGCAACCCCTGATGACCTTTAAACTTTTTAGCCACACCCTAGAAGCGGTACCCTAGCAACACCTAAGCAACCACCTAGCAATGCCTTAGCAACCACCTAGCAACACCTTTGCAACCACTCAGAACACCCTAGCAACACCTTAGCAACCACCTAGCTATACTTTAGCATCCATCTAGCAATGCCTACTTTAATAACAATATTAATAATGATGATGATGATGACGATTATTGTTATTATTATTATTATTAGGTAGGATATTGTTTTTTTATTTTTTTGAAAAGTCTACTTTTACAGTTTGACACATGTAAACCACTGCAGAAATGTTCTAAATGTTCTAGGCCCATGTAATATACAGTAGGCTACATTTCTTAATAAATAGCTTACTTTAAAATAAAATCATTAACGTATGCTATGTTTTTTGTTTTTACAAGTTTTGGAGCAATGACTGAAAAGATATACTAGCTATAAATTCCGCTCAGCTGTATTTAAAATGACATTGATGTTTTCAAAGTGCACTGTGAAGGGAGCGCAATTGTAAACATGAAGATTGCTAAAGCTGAAATGTAAAAATACTTTGAAAGCAAATTACACCTAAGAGAGATGACCTTAATGCTTTTTTATTACTTATTCCATTAAATGTTAGAATGTTCTAAATGAATATGGCATAGGGGGATAAGTGGGATTAGGACACAGCCAGGAACTATGTTTCTAACCACAGCTTCAGAGGTGTAGTTGCAAGTGCACAAGTTTTGCACAAGCAAAGCAGTTTGCGAATGTTTGTTGGAACGACGGATTTGGGAAACGTCAAATCAACAAACTATTTTTGTGATGGGTTTGTCCCGACAGACGATAGTATTGTGTATTGAGGAGAGGCAAAGATATTGCAGAGAGCTGAAACCTATGACGATTTTAAAGACATTTTGTATTAATGTAGACCTATTACTTGTTTTTTTTTGCATTATTGAATAAAATAAATAATATTGCTATTTTTAATCATCATCATTAATAATAAATGAACTACAAATAAATATGACCGCACTTGACTGACACTTTCGGATAAAAATGCATAATTTCAATTGCACTCTTGCACGCTTTCTCTCTCTCTCTCTCTCTCTCTCTCTCTCTCTCTCTCTCTCTCTCTCTCTCTCATTCTCTCTCCGTCTCTGTCTCAGCAGCAGCAGCAGTTTAAGCGCGAGCTGCTATTGAGGGTACAGCCACATCTCATAGCAAATTAGTTTGCAACTTTATTGCATAGGCTTAAAATAATAGACTAAATAACAAAACTGGATTTAATTAAGAAACAAGTTAAATAAAACGATTTTTTAAAAATGAAACAACTGTAGAAGAGAGTGAAAGAACTTTGAAACCGGCTCAAATATTCTGAAATAAAACGTGTTGCGGTCGTTGGTCATTTGAGACTCCTTTATAAAAGCACTCCCGCAAAATTCTCTCTTGCTTTCACAAAAAAGCTATTTATCTTTTATAAATGTTATTAATAGCCTATTCAGGTTTTAAGGTGGTCTATTGCCTTTTTTCAGTGCATGCACTGATAGCTCCTTCAAATACACAGAATATACATACTTGTTTATTTGTGTTTAATTCGATAGAATGATAAACACCGACATACACATTTTTCTGAAAATAACCTATTTATTGAATTTAAAAATACGTTAGGCCTATATTTATTGATATAGGCTATTAAAATATATTTCATTTATTTATTTAAACTAGCCTACATTGAATTAAATTACAACCTGTATTTTAACATTCATTTTTGCATTAAAGAACTATTAAACAGATTAATAATAACTTACTAAAGAACATTTTACTGAGCTTAGTGAAAAGTTTTAGGTCAAATAGGCTATTTAATATAAGAGCAATAGGCTATTGCCGACTTGCCGCAGCCATGTTTAAAATGAAACTCTCATCAGAAAACAGTAAACACATATGCCAAGCACAACATTGTGTTAGATCTTAGCAAATACAAATGTGACACTGTTGATGATTACTTTTGTGATTGATTAGACCTAAAGCTGCACCGTTCTTACTAAACAAAACATTGGAAAACTTCACCGTATAGAAACAGTCCTCCATCTGCATCCCGTCTGAAACGACTGAAATGCATCCTTGTTTCTATGCGTGGATAAATATAATTTCATTTGCTTTTATCCATGTGTATTATATCCATTTTGCGGCAGTCTCGCAGGCCGAGGATAACAGCATGAACCTGAAGTCACAATCAAATCCTGTCTCGCACCCCACCATAGCAGAGTATTGTTTGAAATAATTTTGGTCTCAGCACCTATTTAGCTATAACAGTGCGGTGATTTGCATTGGTTTGAATTATTATCCAATATCAGAGGTAATGCAAATACAGTAGGTTATTAAATAAGTTTAAAAAACAGCAGAAAGATTAATAAATGTGTTTTGATATGGTTAAATATATTAATCATGTATTATATATATTTATATATACTGCCACGCCCCCATGCGATAGTATCGTGTATCTGCAATCTCAAAGGGGGACGATATGGCGATCTGAAAATTTTGTATATCGTCCAATACTAGTTTGTAACGATGAAACTTGCAACCTTAGTTGGCTAATGATAGTTTTTGGAAACGCACCCCGGGTTAGGGTTATTAATCAAGTTATTGCATAACAATGGTTTGTTCTTTAGACTATCAAAAAAAGCAATTAGCCTAAAGGGGCTAATTATTCTGACCTTAATATGGATTCAAAATTTAAAACTGTTTTTATTCTAGCAGTTAAAACTAGAATAAAACTGTTTTTATTCTAAATAAAACAAATAAGACTTTCTCCAGAAGAAAAAATATTATCAGACATACTGTGAAAATTTCCTTGCTCTGTTAAACAACATTTGGGAAATATAAAAAGGCAACACTTTATTTTGATGGTCCATTTAAGTATTAGTAGACTGTCTGCTCAATATCTGTTGATACTGCACCTTTAACAGACATTTAACTGACTGTAGAAAACTTTGCAAGTACATGTCAACTTACACTAACCCTAACCCCAACCCTAACCCTAACCTAACAGAGAATTAGTTGGCATGTAGATGCAAAGTAACTTGAATTCAACAAACTGACCATCAAAATAAAGAGTGACCAAAAATAAAGAAAGTTCAAAAGGAGGCTAATAGTTCTGACTTCAACTGTAAGAGCTATTAAAAATAACTATGCATAACTAACATATACTCTCAAATACCTAACTATACACATAAGACAGGCTATACAGGCTATATATCTACAATATACAGTTGAAGGCAAAATTATGAGCAATCTTGTAAAACGGATTTTTTTTTTTCAAATATTAACCAAGTGTTGTTTAATGAAGATAAGATTTTTTTCTACATAATGCATGTGGCATAGGGGTGGGAATCTTCAGGTACTTTATGATCTGGTAAGATCTTGATTGTGGAATTCTTACTTTTGATAATTGACTCAGAATATCTCAGAATAAAAAACATGAATCGATTTTTTTAATGTGACATCTTGCTTTAATACCTTTTTTTTTGTTTTTTAGATCTGTGTGCTCAGAAAATTTAAACAGAGAAGACTTGTGCAACACAAGATTTTATATATTTACTTAATAATATTTGATATATTTAATAGTGGGCAAGGCAGTGGCGCAGTAGGTAGTGCTGACGCCTCACAGCAAGAAGGTCGCTGGTTTGCTGGTTCGAACCTCGGCTCAGTTGGCGTTTCTGTGTGGAGTTTGCATGTTCCCCCTGCCTTCGCGTGGGTTTCCTCCGGGTGCTCCGGTTTCCCCCACAGTCGAAAGACATGTGGTACAGGTGAATTGGGTAGGCTAAATAGTCCGTAGTGAATGTGTGTGTGGATGTTTCCCAGAGATGGGTTGCGGCTGGAAGGGCATCCGCTGCGTAAAAACTTGCTGGATAAGTTGGCGGTTTATTCCGCTGTGGCGACCCTGGAATAATAAAGGCACTAAGCCGACAAGAAAATGAATGAATAAATTAATGAATGAATAAATATTTAATAGTGCTGGGCAATTATAATTATTATAATAATTTTTTTTTTTTTTTGCATTGAGCACTTATTGTAAAAGTAAGTGCATGAACAACAACAAAAAACAAAACATATTCCCAT